AAGTAAACTTTATTCAGCCACTGTTTTTTGAACCAGAAATGAACAAAACAACAAAATAAGATCTTAGGAACACTAACACAGTGCATGTGTGTCTGTGAATCTCCACAGCTCACAAGTAACATGTCATCATGTTGTGATGGTATACACCAGGGGTGTCAAACTCACTTACAAAAGTGGGCCAAAATTAAAATATTTTTCAAACTAAGGGCCGGTTTCTGAATCTACATTAACTCAAGTTAGATACCAAACGTCTTTTCTTGGTTGCAGGTTCCTCAATAAGAGTTTGGTTGGTCTAATTTGATGTTCTCTGCTGCACTTTTGACATCATAATCAAAGATTACTGAAAAAATTAAAGTGATAGAAGTATTTTACATTTAAAATAACATCTTGGGGGCCAGATAAGATGTCAACGAGGGCCACATTTGGCCCCCGGGCCTTGAGTTTGACACATATGGTATACACCATGCAATGAATACAATCAGAAATACCACAAAAATGAATATATGTAAATTAACTAGATGCTTTAGTTTTGTCATCTACACAACACATGAAGGACATGTCATCAGACTGTGCTTTGTGCAAATAAATTTTGCACATTTAACACAAGTCATGCTCATTTTGACATCATCAGATGGCTTGCAAACCTGCCACCTCTTCCTCTTCTTTTTTCCTCCAGTAGCAACCTAGAAAGACGAATACAATGATTAATATATACTTTTGATGCTCCTAAGACACACATAACATGCACTCGCACAAACACACACTTTTACTTACCTCACACACTGATGTACTGGGTGTAGTCCTCTCCTGGATCTCCTTTACTACAGCTGCAGTAGCTGGGGTCCTTGGCATATGCTGTCTTCGTTGTATATGTGGTACCACAAGTGCCTTGCCCAGCTCTTCTTAGAAAATGCGCCTCTTGTACAGCTTTGACACATTCCACTCCGGAAAGATTTCCGTCCAAATGACAAATGTGTTGTATGCTGATACATCAATGATGTTGTAAAAGATGACCAGTGGCCAGCGCGCAGTCATTCTCTTGGTGCTGTATGACCCTGTGACCTTGTCCAGATTGTCCACCCCGCCTTTGGTAGCATTGTAGTCAAGGATCATAGTTGGTTTATGATTCTTTCCTGTGCTGATTTCAGCATTTTTATGCAAAGTGCTCATGAGCACAACATTTTTCCCCTTTTTAGGGCAATAGGACACCAGGGCTGTATTGTCTGTAAAGGCAAACATGGATGATTGAGGGTCCCTGTTCTTTGTCACCAGTAGCTCAGCGGGGAGTTCAGCTCTGTTCTTTCGGACTGTCCCAACCATCGTGAGCTTTCTTTTTAGAAGTTCTTGACCCAAGTTATAGCTTGTGATAAAATTGTCACAGGTTATGTTGTGCCCCTGAGACCATTTGACATGTCAAGCACAACCCTTGTACCTTGATTTTTTTCTGGGGCTCCTCCAGCTGGCTTTCCAGTGTAAACCTGCATGTTCAAAACATAGCTGTTTTTTGCATCACATGCTGCCCAGAATTTTATGCCATATTTAGCTGGCTTGGAAGGCATATATTGCCTAAATGAGCAGCGACCTCTGAATGCCACAAGTCTTTCATCCACTGTGACATTAGGGCCTGGGTTATAGAACAGGAGAAGTTGCTCAAGCCACTTGTCCCACACTGTCCTAATAGCTGCTAGTTTGTCTGTTTCCCGTCTGACAGCTCTTGTCTCTCGATTGTCAAATCGGATTACTCTGGAGAAAATATGAAAAGTCTCCAGAGACATTGTGGCCCAAAATATTGCCCTGCCTGTCTCTGCATCCCATAGACTGGCTGTTGATTCATCCTTTGACTTGTAAACTCCGGTCAGAATGAGGACCCCCAAATATGCATGTAAATGCATTTGGTCCAGCTCCTTCCAGTTCTCTCCAAAAACTCGCCTTCCTTCTAGATTTGTCATTTGAAGAATGATCTTTTGTATTACATTAGGCATGAGTAACTCAAAGACCGACTTGATATCTGTGACTCGAGTTACTGCCATCCTAGTAGGCCCTGGCACTGTCTTTATTATATTTTCTGAACACTGTTTTCCGAGGTGCTTAGAGATGAAGACCACTGAATTTCACCATTTTTTGACATGAATGTCTTGCTTGGAGAAACATGAATATCACTTTCATCAATTGGTTCATAATCAGAATCATCAGACTCAGAATTGACCTCAATACTGTCTTCAGCTTCAGACACCTCCTCTTCTATTTCACTGTCATGATCAATGAGAAGATCCAGCACTTCCTGGGCTGTAAACTTTTTTTTTCCTGCTGCTCATTTCCTGACCTCTGACAGTGACAATATCACATGTACCTTCAGTGTGTAATGTGTTTAGGACTCCCTTGCAGAGAGTATTTATGCCCTCCCACCCCTCCCCTTCTGCCGAGTGTCCACTCAGTGTGGGTAGAGTTTTCCCACAGGAACAGAAAAAGTTCCTGTCAGAAGTTGTATAAACACCTGCTTTCTCACAGTTTCCTTGTGAAGTAAAGAGAATAGTGAGAAAGTGGATTTGTGTGCATGCACGTGTGCATGTGTGTGTGTGTGTGTGTGGTGTGTGCGTGCATGTGTGTGTGTGTGCATGCACGTGTGCATGTGTGTGTGTGGTGTGTGTGTGCATGTGTGTGTGTGTGTGTGTGTGCGTGTGTAGTGAAATATGTCTCATAGTTTCAAGGAAACAAATAGAATTGGATATTTTTTTTACCATTTTTACCCTTCAACTTGACTGCCGGGTCAAATTGACCCGAACAGTATCGATGTAGCAAGTAGACGCAGGGGGTGGTACAAATGTGTAAAGTGAACCATTTTCAATTTATATGTTGAGTGGAACTATTAAGACAAATAGAAAAGTTTCATGCAGAAAAAATATTTTCAACTATTTAAAAAAAAAAATTAAACTTTAAAACGTGTCAATTTGACCCACAACATAACAGGAGGGTTAAGAATTATCTTGTTTATAAAGTTTTTCATCATTTATTCCAATTATAGAAGTGCACTGAAACTGAAAGAGTTTTATTTACCATATTTTTTTTTAGAAAAAATAACTTATTTTGCTGCAAAATCTGGTCAAAGAAAACCTGCGAACGTTATTTTTGTTTGTTTATTCAGGGAAAATGATCCAATCGATATTTGAGAGTTCAGACTTTTTTTTTAAATAGTTTTAGCATCTTTCTGTAAAAACTTTTCTCCCAGGTCTCCTGATGCATGCTCAATAATCCAAATAGAAAAATCCAAAAAAGTTCAATCTGGTCCTCTGGACATCCCAGGTCCAATGAACTCTTTTTGTTGTGCTATATTTGATTCTCTGTTGTCATTGTCATCAACAGATTAAAAATCCATCCATCCATCCATTATCTTTTACCCGCTTCTTCCATATTTGGGTCACGGGGGTCACCAGTGCCCATGTCCAACAATTACTGTGCGAGGGGCGGGGTACACCCTGAACGGGTCGCAAGTCCATCACAGGACCACATAGAGACAAACGAGACAACCATTCACTCTCTCACTCACACCTAGGGACAATTTAGAGTTACCAATCAGCCTAACATGCATGTTTTTGGGCTGTGGGAGGAAACTGGGGTACATTAAAAATCTCTTGATGGTAATGTCACCATTTTGTATGGTTTTTGTTTCTCCAACATAGCACTATTGTTTTTACAAAGGTAATAAATTTGTTTTCTTAACAACGTTTAGGATAATTTTACAGGGTTTCTGATATGCAGAAATATGTGAATATCCCAAACTGCTTTATCCTGCAATGTTTAAAATCACCCTTTTTATTAACATATGAGTTATTTTATTACGATTACCATGAATTTGTTTTTTCTTCGCTTATAAAGTTTTGCTTAAACATCTGGAAATCAAGCCTCCATTTTCAAGCAGCCTCTCATAACAACTACCTGCTTTTTCAAAGTATAATAAAAAAAGAGCCCATGAACCAGTAATCAATCATAAAAAGCCCAGGAGCATTACTAGCATCAGTGGAGGACTCCATGACTCCTGGGTCTTACCTTTAGTCTAAATTTCTGAAAAACCTAGAGGAGTGAAGTTAGTCTGTTCTCAATCTTATTCTCGCTTATCTTTTTTTTTTTTTTACTGGGTGTTGTCAAACACTTTGGGTTTGAAGTCCAGCCCTCCCCCTTTCTATGTATCAGACAGAAAGAGGCAAAAGGTCCATTCAGTTAACATACCTCTTAGTTCACATTACATTTCTGTGTTTTGCCAATGATCTATGGCAACTTCCACTATGATTCTAATTATGATCTTTGTGAATGTGATTACATTTAAATTTACTTGAACAATTAGATGTCATTTCAGAAGCTTTTAAAGGAGTGGGGTTAACAGGAAAATGACTCAAGAGTTTTGTCCCTCCCTTCCTTTCCCTTTTATAAACACAATCCCTTTTTTGGGAAGTCTTGTTCCCCAACGCAGGGAAAACTGCACAGTAACACTTATGCAACTCATTCTGTCTCCATTTAACTCACTGCTGCTCATCTGCAGGCACGGCTGAACTTTAGACACGACTGAGTATTGAGGGGTGTTTACGAGCTGTTCTGGAGTTGGATTTATCATTTAAATTGAAATCTTTTGACTTTTTACCCCCTTTTTTTATTTTTATTTTTTTGAAGTACTTGCTCCAGAGTGCTTCAGAGACAACATCCAACAAGTACACTTTAAGAACTATTTTATTATAACAAAGAAGCCAAGTCGAATCAATGTTCATTTAGTTTTACTTCTTTTAGTACATTAAAAATATTCTCTTCCCAGTAAGAAGGTGGCAAGATTTTTCTCTCTCTCTGCTTCAAAGACTCATGGATCAAAGTCCCTTAGAGCCACATCCTGCAATTGTATCAGAGCTGTGGGTGGATAGAGGTGAGAGTAGCTGTGTGATCTGCAGTAAAGACGAGGACACAAGGCGAGTGGTTGTCTAAACAGCAAAGTGCGACTGAAGTCACCACAGCGGATCATGTGTGCCGCAGCACTGGAGGAGTACTGCGGGTCAACCTTTTGGGTGAGTTTTAACAGCCAGAACTAAAGAAAATAACTTCACTGAGCTCTCAAGATGAAAAACACTCTTATTTTTGATGTATTCACAACTTATCTCTAACCTATGTAACATTTAAACCAGGGAAATGCTGCTGTTTTTAGTAGATAGTGTAGCAGATTTATCATTTAAGCCGATTTGAGGGCAGTCAACACAGTTTATTCACTACTGACAAATTCGAAGCATTACAGATACTTTAAAATTTGGTCAAACGTGTTAAAATGCTGTCATTTTTACACAGTTTCAAGGCTCACTGCGTGTTCGTTCAATGAAACAATCTCCTTCACATCATATTTCTGTTACTCTTAACACCAGAAGCTTGAACTTTTTGTTCTAAAGTCAATACGAGCATGTTTCTGCTCACAGAGCCATGTTCTGGACCTAATCACCTACAAGGTTTCGCTGTGTTCAAGTAAAAATGATTAATAATTATTCAAGCACTTTCCAATCACCAGTTTTACTTTAAGATGAACAAAAACCCTTTAGAGATTTTCAATTTAGTTTTCATTGTTAACATTATTCTTTATACATATATTTTATTTGATGCCTTTAATTTCTTATAAAATAAAACAATTTAACTAAATGAGTTCAGCGCTCAGGCGTACTTTTTAAATTATCTTGACAATTTGTTTCAGCATTACATTTACATTTTCTTGTTATTTTAGTTAGTTTTGTTAGTAACATGGTTTATAGTTGCGTGTCAGTCCTAATTATATTAAGAAAGGTCTTAGAATCATTAAAATGTGATTTGATCTTTAATAGGGATGCACGATATTATCGGCATGGTATCGGTATCGGTCGATATTAGCGATAAAAATAAAAATCGGACATCGGCCATTCCATCAAAATAGCACACTGATATAACAACTCTGTGACAAGGATGCCTGCAGCGCCAGTACAACGTTATGACATCACGCACGCGGTTGAGTCTAGATTTGTGAAATTTTACAAATTTGCACTGTTCGAGTGTTGTCATTGTGTTAGGGACTGTAAATGTCATTAATAAATTTGACATTAAACATAATCCAAGTTGAAGTGTTACATCATTTTCAGCCCCCTTTTTGGCATCTGTATTTGGTAGCAGGCCATATTGGCAAAGGCCATGCAAAATAATGTAGTATTTTAATTCCACCGCTGTAGTCTCTGTAAGTAGGTCTAGGAAAAAAATATCGTTATCAGTTACTGACCAAAGAAGTTTTAACATAGCATATTGGATATCAGCCAGAAATCCAATATTGTGCATCCCTAATAATAATCTTGAAGTATGTGTGTGTATTTGTTCCCAGAATGCTTCATATCTGAATAAAGGAGACCCAGACCTCCCATTATGTCTAGAGCAGACACTTCTGGTCTGGATCCCTCTAGGGTTCCTGTGGATCTGTGCTCCCTGGCACCTTATGTTTCTTTGCCGAACACCACATGTAAAACGCATGTCCAAGCTCTATCTCTGCAAACAGGTAATAATTACAAGTAACACCCAAACTCACTTTAATGTTTTCAAATTAGCATCAACAGCAGGATGTATTTCACGCTGACAGTCTTTCTATGTCCATTTTCTCCTCAGCTTGTGGCATCTCTGTTGTTTCTGACGGCCATCGGAGGCCTGGCAGTCACATTAACACAAGATTTTGGTCCAAGCAGTGAAACTGCTGTGAAAAATTCTGCTGTATTCTACACAAACCCAGTCCTTTATGCTATAACATGGGTAAATTAGATAATACTTAAAAAAAAAATATTCACAATGGGGCTTAAAATGTAATGATTATTTTATAACTTTTGGTTTGTACTTTTTTTATTCAGATCCTTGTCCTGCTGTGTCAGGAGGGGGTGAGGCGAAGAGAAAGAGCAGTAGACTCCACCAGTCTTTTTCTCTTCTGGCTTCTTCTTGTTCTGTGTGACATTTTTCCTTTCCAGACGCTCCTCCGAGAGGCGCTTAGTCTGGTATGAGCAAAGACTAAGAAGAAATAATCTAACCTACCCAGACATAAAGAAGACAATTTAAAGAAAATGTCAGCCCAGAATAATTAGCTATGATGCACCATTTACTGCTGCATAATGCTCATCTTTAAATATCTATTTTTACACTCAGGGAGAAGTCAAGGATGTCGCTCGTTTCTTGATTTTTTACATTTCCTTTGGACTGGAGGTGATTGCACTTGTTCTCTCTGTTGTGGCTGATATCGCTCGAGAGGATCAGGAGCATGTAAAAAAGGTTATTTCATTTTTTATTTGTTTTGAAACTGTGAGATTTGTCATAAAATACAATATTTTAAGTTTTCACCACCAGCAGCTATCCAAATTTTCGTGACATTTGTCTTTTTTGTTTTGTAGAATCCAGAGGCTGGTGCCACGTTTTTGAGCAGAATCACCTTCAATTGGTTTAACAGGTAAACTCAACACTGCAAAAGAAGAAAAGCACAAACTAAAACTTCCACGTGTTCTGTAAAGCATCGTATTTTGTTTTCCAGAATGGTGGTTAGAGGATACAAAAAGCCACTGGTTCAGGAGGACTTGTGGGAGATAAACGAGGTGGACAGCACCCCATACATCAGCCATCATTTTGAGCATCACATGAAGTTTGAACTGGGAAAAGCTCGGGTCCAGTTCCAAAAGAAGCTGAAGAAGAAACTGGTACAAAAAGTAATACAAGAAGAAGCTTCTCAAAATGGCCTCTCCAACAGTCTGGGGAAAGGTGTGAGTCAGGATGTTCTGGTGATGGTGAGAACTCTTCAGTATTTATCCTTCTTTTTCTCAGGTATTCCACATGTGTGTTCCTAAAGATTGTGCTCATGTCTGTTTTACTTTAGGAGGATAAAGGGGCAAAAGATGATGGAAAGAAGAAGAAAAAAGACAAAAAGGAGAAAGAGTTATATCCAGATTCCTGGCTGGTTATGACCATTTACAAATGCTTCAAATGGATTCTCTTTCAGTCGGCCATCTTGAAACTTATACAGGATCTTTTGGCATTTGCCAGTCCTCAGCTCCTCAAGTACGTCTTTTTTTATTAACCTGTAACAACTAAAGAGGCTTTATGTGAGTTAATTCACCTTTGTACAACAGCAAATCCCATATGTGAAAAACTTTTATCAACCATTTATGAAAATTCAGTTTATCAGGATCTGACATTTCACTCCAAAGCTTGAAAAATGACTTGATATAACAGTCGACCTAAACCTAGTTTAAGTATTTACCACTCATTGATTAGTTCAAACATCACCTGGTGACACCAGGGCACTGGAACACAAGTGTAAACAAAAAAGGTTCATAAAAACAGAAGAAACTACCATTCATTCAACCTTACAGATTAGTCTAATTTACAAGAGTGACCTGATTTAAACAAACAACACAGAAGAGGTACAAACAACAATAGCAGGAACATGTCTGCGTTGGGTTTTGCCAAGAACTTAGTGAATGTTTGAAGCCACTTAGAGAGGTCAAGGTCGAGAGCTTCAGATATTTTTTCAAGGTGTTCCAGGATCAGAGTAAGAGAAGGCTGTTTTTGTCAAGTTTGGTCCGCAGTGAGGGAACACTACAAATAATAATGTCCTGAGTGTGCACGCTGTAGCTGCACTCACACAGAGACATGTAGGAGGAGATGTATGAAGGCAACAGACCAAGAAGTGATTTAAAGATGGAAAATGTACCAGTGAGAGAGTCTGCGTGAAGTTAATGACCAATTGACCAGTGAATACAGGGTCCAGTGATGGGTACGGTAGTTACAGCCAGTTATGAATCTTAGCACACCGTGATAGACAGCGTCCAACATCTGCAAGGTGCTTGTAGGGGCATTCATGTATGTCACCGTAGTCATTGAGGGGAAGGAATGTAGCAGTTACAAGGTGTTTCCTAGCATTCAGCGTTTTTTGAAACGGCGTTTCTGTTTTTTACGAAAAAATTAATTACAGTCGTTTTTCTCCTCTTTCCCAGATTGATGATCTCTTTCACTCAGGACAAATCCAGCTATGCTTGGGAAGGGTATTTGTATGCAGTGCTGCTGCTGCTGGTGGCCCTTCTGCAGTCCCTGTTCCTGCAGCAGTATTTCCAGAAGTGCTTTGTTCTGGGGATGAAGGTCCGCACCGCCATCATGGCTGCTGTGTTCAAAAAGGTAACAACAGAAATGACAGATCAACATTATTTTTGTACGCTTAACTTCCACAAAATCGGGCTGCTGCATTCTGGACAAGTTGTAGTCGTGCAATGGAGGTTTGACTGATATCAAACAGGAGTGAATTGCAATAATCAAGCCTAGATGTAATGAATGCATGTATTACTGTCTCCAGGTTATTTTTGGACAATATGGGCTTCAGTTTAGACAGCCGCCTCAGTTGGAAGAAACATGATTTAACAATCATGTTTACGTGACTGTTAAGTTTCAGGGAAGGGTCCATTATCACTCCCAGATTAGTGACTCTTTGTTTTTCTGACAGGGTTAGAGTAGAGAGGTCGATGCAGTGGCTTGTGATCGTGCCGTTGGGAGGGAACAACATGACTTCAGACTTCTTTTCATTGAAACTTAAGAAATTTAAAGCCATCCAGTCCCTGATGTCAGCCAGGCAGTCGAGCAGAGGTTGAATAGAGCATGTACCATTGTGTCTTAGGGGGAAGTAAATTTGACAGTCATCGGCGTAGAAGTGGAAGGGCATGTTGTGTTTCCGGAAAATAGCACCAAGCGGCAGCAGGTATAAAGAGAATAGGAGGGGACCCAGGATGGACCTCTGCGGAACCCCCCATTTAAGCTCTGCCGCTGCAGAACTAAACTCCTTGATGGCGACACAAAAGGATCTGTCAGCGAGGTAAGATCTGAACCAATTGAGGGCTGACCCTGTGATGCCCACCCACTGCTCCAACCTAGCAATGATGATCTCATGGTCGATGGTGTCAAAAGCGGCTGTGAGGTCCAACAGGACAAGCAGCACAGAATCACCGGTATCAGTGGTTAAGAAAATGTCATTAAAGACCTTCAGCAGGGCAGTTTCAGTGCTATGGAGAGGTTTAAAGCCAGATTGGAATAGCTCTAAGACGGCGTGGCCCTCCAGGAAGCACTTCAACTGGGACTCGACTATTTTCTCCAGTAGTTTTGAAACAAATGGGAGTTTGGAGACAAGCCGGAAGTTGGATACAACTGAGGTGTCAAGGTTTTTTTTTTTTTTTCAGGAGAGGCTGGACAGCAGCATGTTTAAAGGTTTTTGGCACCACGCCAGTGGATAAACTACTGTTTACTATGGCAAGAATGGACGGACCTAGAGTAGGAATGAATGGTTTATGGTTTCTAACAGCCAATATTAGAGGCAAAGCTGATAGAATTAAAGATTCTTGTTTGCTAACAATCGTAATTACAATTACAATGTAATTAGAATCTTCACCAGCATGTAATTACACTTTCACTGATTGAATTTAATTGAATTGAAATGAGAAAAAATGTACTCATTTGTTCATTAATAAACAAGTTTGCTTTCAGTTTGCTCTTCTTTTTTTTTTTGTTCGGCTTTGTTTTATTTATTTGTTGATTGAGTCACATTGCTCAACTGAACTCCCACTTTAAAAATTGTCCCTTTTACTTTGTTTCTTCTCATTGGTTATTTCCACTCCTCTCTTCTTTCCAAGGCATTGGTCATGTCTAATGACAACCGTAAAGAGTCAACGGTCGGGGAAACGGTGAACCTGATGTCGGCAGATGCCCAGCGCTTCAACGATGTGACCAACTTTATCCACCTGCTGTGGTCCTGCCCTCTACAGATTCTCATATCCATTGTTTTCCTCTGGCTGGAGTTGGGACCTTCTGTGTTGGCAGGGCTGGCAGTAATGGTGCTGATGGTGCCAATCAATGGACTGCTAGCCACTAAAGCTAGAAAACTACAGGTAAGCTAAATTAATAAATACGTTTAAGCCAGCTATTTAATGTTCATATTGCTTCCCTGTCGTACTTTTTCTTATCCAGTCCATGGACATATTTGCCTGTTCTGAGCCCAGTTCTGCTGTATGTTTCTTCTTGTTTAAAAGGGAGTTTTTCCTGTCCACTGTCACCAGTGTGCTTGCTCAGGATTGGCGCTTGCAATGAAACAGATATTTGATACAATGTGCTGGCTTCTTTATATAGATAACTTTTTACTAACTGGCATTTTATGATGGGTGTGAATGTTTTTGTACAGTGTCCTGAACAAACATTTGTTGTGAAAATCGGTGCAATAAAAAGAACAAAAGATTTAAATTAAATTTGCAAGGGATGTTGCACCAAACTAAACAAAATACAATAAGTTTATATACTAACTATAAAAAAACCATTCTGTTAAATTTAATCGACAGGTAGGACAACATAATCTTGTTTTGGATATCACTAAAAATTCAGCTAGTGGCAATTGTTTTAAAAAAAAAAACTGTTATAACTCACAAAAATGATTAGAAATTAGTCAAAGTGGCAAAAAAATATACGGTACATGCTCACTGTTATACATAACCATTCAAGTTTCTGCTTTTTACCAGCGCCTGGGAGCTTGAAGGTTCTGTTTGATTTCATAAGTGTTCCTGCATGTTTGCAGGTGGAGAACATGAAGTTCAAAGACAAGAGACTGAAAATAATGAATGAGATGCTCAATGGAATCAAGGTGTGTGCCCTTCTTAACATGGTTAATGATTTTTGAAGTTAGTTTAACCTTTTTTCAAATAATTATACTTTTGTCTATCCTCTATCAGATTTTGAAACTGTTTGCATGGGAGCCGTCCTTCCAGGCACAAGTAGAAGGCATTAGGAACGACGAGCTAAAAGTTATGAAGAAGTTTGCGTACTTAACATCTGTGTCAACGTTCATCTTCACCTGTGCTCCTGCTGTGGTGAGTCATACGAATGAGCTTTGCAGAACGACTCAATATTATGACTTACAAACATCATCTTTTGACTTTTACCATTTGTGTTTTTCTTGTTCATTTATTTGGGCAGGTTTCTCTGGCAACATTTGCTGTGTTTGTTAGCGTAAGCTCAGACAACATTTTAACTGCAGAGAAAGCTTTCACATCCATTTCACTCTTCAACATCCTCCGGTTTCCTCTAGCCATGCTGCCCATGCTTATCGCATCCCTTGTGCAGGTAAAAAATTATTTAGTAAATGCTTCATGCACCCCTAACCAGATCTATAATAAAATAGCATTAAACTCGCTCGTTCACTTTTCAGACATCAGTGTCTAAAAAGAGACTGGAGAAGTTTCTGGGAGGAGATGATCTTGAAAGTGACATTGTGAAGCATGACTCCAATTTCAGTAGGTTCACCATCAGCTCTTTCACCATTTTCACTGCTGAGCATGTTTTCAGAAACATTGATATGCAGTCAATTTTTCTGCTTTGTCTCTTTTCATGTTTTGTGTCCTTCTGTTTTCATCTCTTAGACACGGCTGTCAGCGTATGTGATGGCTCCTTTGCATGGGAAAGAGATGCTGACCCCCTGTTGAAAAAGTATTTACAACGTTGTTCAAATTACAACGTATAGCCACAAAAAAAGTTCTAACCCTTATATATTTAGCAGTTTTGAGAAAATGTACCCTGTTAATTTGTCTGTTTTTGTTTGTCAGTGTGTCGTTGGACATTAAGCCTGGTCGGCTGGTAGCAGTAGTGGGAGCTGTGGGTTCAGGGAAGTCCTCCCTCATGTCAGCCCTCTTGGGAGAGATGCACTGTGCCAAAGGCTTCATTAACATTCAGGTAATGATTTGTTTCTTTTTATTATATCCATGATGCAAACACTGTGTTAAAAGATATTATAAATTAGTTATAAGTGTATTGAACTTGGTTGTCTGTTGTGTTTTTAACTGAATTATTGATTCTTTGGGAATGAAAGGGATTCGTCAATCATTAAAAGGCAGGAATTTAAATGGTATCCATGACTATCTGTTTAGCTTTTAAATACAGATAAACTCAACCAAGGTTGTGCTGAACGTATTTAAAAATACATTTTGTTCTTTACTTATTCAAACAGTTTTTATTCAACAGTTTGTCCTGGTGAGGTGTTGTAGAATAATCTTAAATAAATTAAAGAAAACAATAAAAGCACATTTAAATACTGTATTGCACGTAGGGGTTGAACGACTACATAAGTTTTAAACTTGACATTAACATAATAAAACTCGAGTAGAACTCAAGTACTTAATGACATCATAGAATCTAAAGATACATAAATAAGTAAATAATTAAAACTGCAAAAAAAGGTAATTATTTACAAAAATAGACCAACAAAACATTGGGAGCATATATTATGCTCCTACCATTTATCATACTGCAAATAAGTCACAGGAAAAACTAAACTGTTATTATTATTATTAAGCTGCAAAACTGAAAGAAACGTGCAGGACGTCAAAAACAAAACTTAAAAACAGTGGGGCGGTCAACCACCCCGCACCACCGCCAGCTGTGGTGCGCATTAGGTTTAGTTTTAGAGATTAATATGTTTATAGTTTTTTTTTTTATAGGTTTAGAGATTAATATTTTTTGCTTTTTGTTTGTGAAACAAGGTCAGAGGAAGCTGGTTCTGGTTCAGTCGATTGGACCTGGTGTTACACCATATTCTGTGACCTGCAACAGTGCATGCAACACCGCCCCCTATGGTCACAATATACGGTGGTCACAGAATATGGTGTAACACCGGTTCGCAACGAGCTCTAAACAGTCAGGAAGTTTATTCATTTTCTGTTTCCTTAAGGTAGTAAAACCTGAAGATTCATCTTTAGTGAAATATTTCCAGACTATTGATGCATTTCTACCTGTTTGCCAGGACTGGGCCTGCTCTGCTTCATCTGTCTGCTTGGAGGAATCCATTTTGTAACCCGCGCCCGATGCAGATCACATGACGCAATGATGTAACGGCGACGTAATGACATCACCACGAATACTCGAAGTGAAAAAAAAAACTCGATAGATGTCCTAGGAATCGATGTGTAGATTACTCGAGTAGCCCTAATTGCAAGTAGAAAGCGCTTTTGCAGTACTTGCCCAGTGAAACCATTGTGTGAATTAGTATTTTGCTGAAAGATACTTATACTTTTAAATCTAGGGTTAAAAAACTAAATTGAAGTAACCATAAATATTTGCAATGATATATATATATATATATATATTGCATACATTTTTTTTAAGCCTCTGTGAGGTGTGATATTTGTTTTTTGTACGTATAAAAATAATTATTTACAAGAATAAAATACTCTGAGAGACATTAAAGTGGGAGAATCGGTCTACAATTCTACCTTCTCGATAACAGGCAGCGATTTTGCCGCTTACTCAAGTGTCTGGCACCAATTTTTTTTTTTTCTTTGGAGCCAATCGACGTACCGGCGTGTGATAGTCACATGACCGATTTCGGTCGCTGTAACAGGAAAGACACAGCCTCTCAGAGTCTGTTTCCTCTATCCAGGGGGTCCAGAACCCTTCTGACTGAGCCAACAGAACTAAGCATCAGTTCTGAGCTCTGGAGGATGTGGATGTTGACCCAGAGGGTGTACTAAAGGAAGAAAATACACTTTTTTTTAAATGACCAAAAAGTAATTATTTTGTCAATTAAAAAAAACTGTAATGTAGAGTTTTTAACCAAAAAACCTTGAAGTGTTCAAATAAAATAAAAATTTAAATGAGATACTTTTACTTCAGGCTGAGGCAGCTCTAAAAGACTGAGTAGTTTTTTTTGTGGAAAAATATTTCAAACTAGCATTTTGAAGCAGTTAAAGTGGTTGATTTTCCCACTGAGGAACATGAAGAGTTATAACGTTAAGCGTTGTTCAAATGTACACAATATGATGCTTTTAATGTCCATCAGATTTAATTATCTCATCTGTAGTCACAGAAAGCAAAGTGATGTTTCTGAGCTGCATGCATTCAGCTGGGACTGCTGCAAGATAAAGAATAAAGATAAATTCACTGTGAAATAATTATTAGTCTTGAAAATGTATATGTCGCTCTACAAAACTGACTGACAGCTGCTGCTGATGATTATGACTTCATAACTCTTTTCATGCCTGTGATGCTGGTAAGCATCTAGTGTTGCATCAATTATATGTGAAGGGGACGTGTCCCACTACGTTAGTGCCAGCAGTTGTCAACAGGGGTGGAGAGAGGGGGGGGGGGGGGGGGGGGGGGGGGGGGTTTAGGATGCGTGAGAGAAGCTATTGGATCAAGTGTTTACTTATGCATGATATTGGATTTTTGGCTGATATCCGATATGCCAATATGGTAAAACTTATTTGGTAGATAACCGATACCAATACCGATATTATTCCCCCTAGAACTACTTACAGATACTACAAGTACATAGCTTTCTCTTCTGTGGAATTTAAATACTACATTATTCTGCATGGTGTTTGTCAATTTGGCCTGCTACCAAATGCAGATGCCAAAAAGGAGGCTGAAGATTATGTAACACTTCAACAGCGTGCGTGATGTATAACGTTGTGCTGGCTCTGCAGGCGTCCTTGCCACTGGGTTGTCATACAAAAACAGCACCTTTTTATATATATATATGTGTATTAGGGGTGCACCGATTTCCTTAATTTTGGGAGATCGGAAATCGGCCGATACTTGCATGAGAAACCAATTTTACCGATTTTTTTAGTTTTAACAACAATTGTCTAAATTTCATTTATATTTCAGAGCACTACCTCATGGCTAGTTAAAACAAGTTTGTATTGGTTCTACGATATTGTTCAAGGATATGTTTTTCAATAAAAATAATATTGGCAAATTGAAGGTACATTTTGACCTAATAACACCTGACAGTGTCGCTTATAAAACAAAATAGGTATCGGCCAAAATCAGAGTCGGCAGGTCAGACGTTTTAGAAATCGGTGATCGGAGATCGGCCAGAAAACTGATCGGTGCACCCCTAATATATATATATATATATATATATATATATATATATATATATATATA